GCCATCTTTACTAAGAATGCTTGATTGCCCCTACCCGATCGACTGAATGAAATTGCCCGGCACATTTTTTTAAAAACCTGATGAAAAAAGCGTTTAAGATATTCCGGAAATTTTAGTATTGGTGTCAGCTACAGACCCATTTTTTCAGATTTTAATAAAAAAGGGCAAGCATACATGTCAATAATTTTTATTTTAGCTTAATCAAAATTTTATTCAGAGAAGTAAATTGAATTCGGCAGCAGAATCAAAGTTTTTTAGGCTTCTTATATATTGTATGACAAAATATTTGACTACCCCTAGCTAGTAATAGGTTTTGCTCAAACTGTTTCTTTGTAATTTTTTGAAGATATTGTCTATATCTATTTGAACTAATGAAAATAAAAATATGTAAATATATGTAATTAATATAATTACGTTGCTTCGTTTCCGATGACGTTGATGTAGGTTGACTCGGATGTTCTTGGAGCCCACGTGACACAGGCCGCGTCATTAAACTTGATTACGGCTTCATCAAACTTCTGTTGTATGTCTCCAACTGAAATTAGATAAAACGACGTCTATTTTTTTTTTTTAAAAAGTCATGTCAACTCAAATGATTTATAGAATATTTTTCATTATGATATTATATTTGTGTGTTTTTTTCATTCTAACGTAGAGCAAAATTTCAATTGCACAGGAGAAATTGGGATGAACGAGTATGTTTTATTAATTTAGCGTAGTGTATGAGACATTTAATGACTGAGGGGAAAGAAATCATATGATGCGACTTTTCCTAGAATAGACCTACATTCTTTGCTTAATTTATTATGCGATGACAACAAGATCATCCAATTAAATGTGTTTTAACATTACGGTTTCGGTATGTCCTTGTTTGAATGCTGTATGGTATCTGTCTATTGGGCCATTTAAGATTGTCTTCTGGAACAAACAGTCTCTTCTTCCTTCTGGTTGGTAGTTGCGGTAGTTGCTGTTAGAAAATATGGGTGATAACTCTAATTACAAGCTACAAATGTGCCTACATGTACCTCTACATGTACAATTTACATTTTTTTAAAATCCATTTCTTCACGATATTCTTATAAATAATGTTTAATCCCCCCTTTCAACAATTTTTTTTATGGGGAATTATGTACACTGTACATCATAGATCTATCAAGAAATCAAAGAGAAATTAATTTGAAATATGGTATATCTCAATATTTAAGCTAATTTAAAGTATTTCTATATACCTATGACGTTACTTTACATTTAATATTTTCCTACATCAATTGATAATAATATTTCTCTGAAAAATAATCGCCCTCGCCCCCACAAACCGTTTAATTTCAAACCCATCTTTTCGCAATCTTACCGGTTTCATCTTGCGCTTGGGATGCGTGTCCATTCTTTGAGCTAGTTCAAAATTCTTTGGGCTTTTGTTGAGGTTCTTAGGCTAAATAATAAACATGCACAAAATTATTATCTTTATGACCAGTAAATAAAGATTCGGGGTATGTAGTTTTTACCCCGTCAGTCGCTCTTTCTCTTTGTCATCAAAAGCTTCTACCTTGCCATTTCTTTTGATTGTTTAAAGCAATGGTTTTTCTCATGTGAATTCCTTGTAAAAGAAAATTCCTTTTAAAACCAACATATTTGACCTCTTGACTTTGGAGTTTGACTCACTTTTTTCAATATAGAATTAAACTTGACAATCGCCGTTATTTTTTATGAGTTAGTGGAAGAGCTTTCATGCCAAGAATTAAGGTTCTAGAAAAAATGATAGTTAAAGACAAAATTTTCCATAATGATAATCTCATAAACATATCAAAAATTAGCACTTAATAGATTTATATGATAAACAATCACAAAATGCCACGTATTCAATTTTAAGAAGACCATGAGCATAAATTTCTTTTAAGGTAAATATACATTTTATAAATGCATCCCATGGCAAATTTTATTCCTTCTATTAAATGAAAAACGGTCACATATAATTATCCGATTTTTAAAAAGATGTGCTTTAGAAAATAACTAAGAACGGAGAAAATCTAGGTTAGACAGAGACATAGAAGACGGACGGGGAACTTCATACTTATGAGGAAGCGTAAGCTTTTCTTCTCTAAATTCGAAATAAGCTTTTTTCTAAGTTAACATATTCAATTATTCATATAAACACGTTCTGAGTATATGTCTTTTATATTTAAATTTTCAAGAAATAATAAAAGACCCATAAAAATCCACTGCTGCTCATACTTTGTTTTTGCTTAACATTTTTCTCTCTTTCTCCCATTTATAAGTTATTGTTACAGTGTAGAATATGGAGATAACGAGCAGCATTCAATATTAAAGTCCATAAAACAATACAGAATAGGAGCAAAGCAAACACGGACCTCCGAAACATCAGAGGTAGGATCAGGTGTCATGGAGGAGAGAGCATCCCCTGCTGACCGGTCACACCCTCCGTGTGCTCCTTGTCATGATCGGGGAATTAAGGAAAAATCTGTCATCAATTCAGGGTATAAATAAAAGACTAACAACTAGTATGAAAAACATCAGTCAGCATTTGACTCAATGATAAATTGTGCCTGCTCACAAGTAAAGAGACAAACCTTTTTCTTCTTTCCATCTATATACACAATCATTCTCTCTGCTAAATCCTCTTCTTCTGAGTTTACATCAAGCAATTTCTACAACAAGATTAAGGAGATTATTTTTATAAATAAGATATGAAATATTATACAAAGAATGCCAAGGGTTATGTGTAATAAAATGCTGTCTGGATTGTGTGCCTTGTTTGGGCATTGTGCATGGTAAATTTTATTACTTTAGATGAATAATAATTTATAATGCTGAAAAAAATTATAATTTCTTTAACTCCACATTGGGTTTCACATGGGAATTTGTTTACCAGAATGGTCAACATATATTCAAGCATTTTTAAAGTTATAACATGACGATTTGTTTTGAACAAGATATTGAAGGACGTCTATAATTAATTTAATCTTTTATATCGTAAAAAGGAAATAAAACGTCTATAAAAAGGTAGCTCATGAAATATTCAACAATCTAGGTAAATAATTTTTACTGAGTTAATTCATTTCTTTATTTGATTAAATAAAGGCTGATTAGCGAGAAATCCTTTTCAATACAAATTATTCTATAAAATAGGAATCTAATTTTTAGTTCCAAATGTAAAGAAAATTTTTGCTATACGAAGTCAAAATATATATTTATATGATGTATTAAATAGAAAATTTTATTATCTACAAATTGATTATCATAAAAATTACACGAAATAGGATCCTTCTTTATAAATTCGATAGCCGAAATATAAATTAAAAGATAGATTTTTTTCTCTATCAATTATTAAAAAAAAATTGTTTTAATGAAAAAGTGGCTGCAACAAATATTACACCTGACTTTGACCGGAAGCAGCTCTAATAGTACTCATGAAGAACAACAAACCTTGTTCAAATCATCCGGATTAAGCTGCCCCTTCCTTACTTTATCTGTCTTCTTAGAGCCGCTAGCAGATCCTAGAGTATTAAATTAAGAAAGACAATTCTTATTCTGAAAAATTGTAATTCATAAAATAGTTTAATACTATAAATTTTGCATGTATTGTTAAAACAGTTTATCAAATTAATTATAAAAATACTTACCATTAAGTTTACCTGATGTTTCTTTTAAATCAAATAAAAGAAAGCAAAGAACCAAAATTACAAAAGTATTCTGCATGTTTGTGTTTGCAGAATCTTGCCTGTGAGCCAGTTAGATCTTTTAATCCACATTTATATGCCAAACTATTCAGTCGATTTCCACGTGATTGCTCTACGGGGCAAATATGCAGATAAAATCAATATTTTAAAAACATTATCTTTTTTTTAATTCATATATTAATTTTTCTTTGATTTCAATTACTTGTAAATTTTTACTTTTATGTATTAACCTTGAAAGAAAATGTGTGTCACATTTAATATATATAGAACCACCACGAAGTACATGTACGTAAAATCCTCACGGATATACTGTATAAGCATTAAGCAATGGCATTTTTCAAAATTCAAGAACGCTTATAGAAAGTGTTTTCTCGATAAAGTGCTTTCAAATTAGTGTCCAATTAAGTAAAATAATTGAAATAAATGAATTTCAAATACGTGCATGGAATTCATAAATGTAATGCAAGTGGGATTTTTTCTTCGAAAAATATTCATTAGCTGTACATGTAAATTAATGAGTTTGATATATTCATCTTTAATGAATATAATACAACCGACTAAATGGACGCTCCAAGGAAACGCTGTCCCGTATTAAGTTGGTCTAAAAAAGCAATTAACTTATTAGTATATTTTTTTTAAGAAATGAACTTGAATTTATGGATTTATATTGCTTTGTTTAGTTAAACTGTTTAAATGAAAATTGATCGTTTTCAAGGTTTTGGGATACATGTAACTAGGATTCTTATTTAAGTTGACGTGCTTCTTACACTTCCCTTCAAACCTCGTGCATTATTGAGCTATAGTACTTACTGGATAAACATCAGGGGGTCGTAACATAAAGCATGCTAAGTTTTTGACTTAAGTACGGTCTTAAGTGCGCGTTAAGCACATTTTTAGAACCTACATAAGTACTACTTAAGTATATCTTATACCGTAACATAAAGCGAACTAAGCAATATCTTAGCTAAGTCATACTTATGCATTGAATTAAAATATTATACAGTGTAAAAGTTCATAATGTAGCGATGGTTATTATATGTAAGTGTGAAATTTACTCACAGACTGAATATTTTTTACTTCTTTAACCACTCTTGGCTATTGTCACAACTGACTTTAAGTCCCTAAGGGACTTTTAGTCTTTAAAAATTCCGTCACGTTGTCTTTCACTGGGGTTTGCTTTTCCTTTACGGAAGATAATGGCAACTGTATCCTGAGAATGATGCACATATAGTGCAAAATCGCTGTCGCAACTATAACCTTAAATTGGAGGGAACATTTAATATAGTATATCAAAACATATTATTGGTTTTAAAAATATACATTTGATATTTTCATAAAGTTATTTGTTTGTACCTTGCATGCATTTGAAGGATGAAATAACAGAGGACCTCCAGTTTTATCAAGACAGCGAAAACGGCCCTTCCACACACCAAAACATCTTTCAATAGAGTTTCTAGTTTTCATACGACGAGCATAATACTATAGTATTTCATGATACTAATTTTATGAATATCACATATTATTAAAATTAAAATAGGGTTGTATTAGGGAAATCGAACAAAAAAAAGTCGGTAGTGTTATGCTCCATTTTTTTCAACTCATTTTCTCTTAAACATTATCAAATTTAATACCATGATTAAGTTATGATAAAATAAAAAAGTAAAATATTAATTTTGAAAATATATATGTGTGTGTGAGGGAGGGGGGGGGGGGGTCCTTAACTGCTAACTTAACATCATACAATTTTAAAATGTTAATAGATACATGAATGTTTTATATATTACTGTATATACTCGCCTATAAGTCGGATTTTTGGGAGTTAATTTCTGGTCCAAAACTCTATGTCCGACTTATAGGCGAGCTATAAAATTAATTGTATTATATGAGGTCAGTCCCTCTGATACATCAGCTTATTAAATACAACCAACTTATAGGCGGACCGACTTATAGGCGAGTATATACGGTAGGTGAAATTAGCGAGGGATGGCTCTTGGGTGATTCAGCATATCCACTAAGACCATAGATGCCCCATATTTACAGCCTTCTACTCCCTCAAAGCATCGTTCTTTTTCCTACCACTTTGTAGAAATATATATCATATCTATTGTGAATAGTGTTTAATTGTGTCTTTATTCACAGACCTCTGAATACTACTCTCGGTTTCTCTGTGATTACCGGCCAAGTTAACCTGTCATTAATTTTTAATCATAATTAAAGTACACACATGTATATCCTTTAGGGTTATTTTGCTTCATGTATATGTTAAAATTGCTATATACATGAACACAAGACATAATTGCTATTTATTGACTTGAAGAGATATTAGATTATCTTATTAATTAATAACAAATGAAATAATTACAATATTCATCGTTTAATTTTCACAGTTTTATGTATAATGTGTTCAGGTTCTGTATAACACGCACTTAAGTCACCTATGTTGATCGCCTAAGTTTTGCTAAGATTTGTATTTCTTAGCATCCTTTATGATACAGACTTAAGACAAATGGGTACATCCCACTAATTATTTTTAGAATCGGTAGGAGAAGAAAGTAGTGCAGAAAAAAAATACAAGTTCCTTAAATTGCAGACTTGCATAAAAAAAATTGGGCAGGTGTACTGAACTGAGCCTCACACTTGTTGATAAGGAGTATCTTTCCTGCCAAAAAAGCTTTGAAAATGTAATTTATCAAGAAGATCAGCCGAATTTTTTTGTGTATTATAACGCCAGTGAGAATTCTGAAATTCCCCTACTTTCACTTTCATTTTTAGAGGTTCCCGCAGACAGACGCATTTTGCCGGAAAACGAATCTGACATGCCACCGCGAGATTTTAACCAAGGAAAGACAAGTTGATGTGCTTTGATTTGAGGGGTCACTCACTACCGAACGAAAATTAGGGACATCGCTATGAGAAGAAACGTTAACATTGTCGCCTATGGGAAAACAATTAGTGGACTGTACCCATATTAGGAAGCCTATAAGTAAGTGAAAGATGTCATAAATCTTGAATTTATTTCAAAGTTGTTGTTTTCTATTATTTTCAATTGTTCAAATTTATGAAAAAAAACAATTCTTATATTGTTGATACACATTTTTAAACAAATTGATTCATAAATAAAGTGTCTAGCCCCCCCCCCCCCCCCCCCCCCCCGGAACAGTCAACATGTATCACCCATTGTTTACACATGTATCATGTAGATTAAATGTATCGATTTATATAATTTATTTATTCAGAATCGTAAATGTATAATTTGATTAAGAATCAATTATGTAGAAGTACATGCTCCACTGTGGTTTATTTTCAATACACAAAAATTCACAAATGAGTTCGGGATCGGTATTCAATCGGGGTCAAGGTCGAAGTGAAAGTAGACTTAGCAGAAAGTTATCAAAACTCTTCAGGGAAGTGTTAAGCAGTATATAGGTGATAGGCATTTGTATTTTACACAGGAGGTAAGAGGTATACCTTAGTACAATATTTGTAAATAACAATTTAATGTTTTTGGAACATGTTGATGATCGGCACGTCACATATGCATACTTGACATACATCATTTCAGAGCAGTTGCGCGGTCAAGCTGGGTACAGTTGTCTGGGAGTTGAACGATGTGTGTGAACATGCACATTAACTGATTTTTCTCATATTTTTTAGCAATTGCATTACATGTATTTGTTGAATGTTCAATTATTGTCAGTAAAACATGATTTTTACCTATTCTGCTCACAGGGGCTTGTCACGAAATATTTATCTTCTTTTAATAAAGTTACCCCTACTATAAAAATACACAAGGGAGGAATCTAAAAATAGGAAATTCGCTACCACAAATTTTGACAGGACTTTCTATCTTGTTTCTTGGCGACTTTCGTTGCAGACCAAGTAGGAGTGAGTGGAGTATAGATTCAATTTTAATATTCTTCAGTCAAATTCTAATCAACGCGTACCGTTAGTCATATAACTAACCTCTTTTCTCGATATTTGGATCTGGCGACAGTTCTTTCCATATGAATTTCCGGCGTAAATTGAATGCAGGGCTCTGATTGGTTGCTTTCTGTAAATAACTCGTACACAAAGTAGCTCTTTAATTTAGTGCACCAAAACGGAGGGAAAATCAAACTGTTGTGATGGCATTGAACAATACAGCTGTGGTTTCATTGTACGTATTTTACTATATTTGGTTATATTTCTCTATTTAAACTTGTTAAATATCCTTCACTAAGCATGTCAATCCTTACAGTTTATATTTTGTGTACGAGTTATCTACAGAAAGCAACCAATCAGAGCGCAGCTTTCAATTGACGCATATGGAAAGAACTGTCGCCAGATCCAAATATCGAGAAAAGAGGTTAGTTATATGACTAACGGTACGCGTTGATTAGAATTTGACTGAAGAATATTAAAATTGAATCTATACTCCACTCACTCCTACTTGGTCCGCAACGAAAGTCGCCAAGAAACAAGATAGAAAGTCCTGTCAAAATTTGTGGTAGCGAATTTCCTATTTTTAGATTCCTCCCTTGTGTATTTTTATAGTAGGGGTAACTTTATTAAAAGAAGATAAATATTTCGTGACAAGCCCCCTGTTCTGCTGAATTAACTTAATTACCAATGTAAACAGTGTGATTTCAGGTGGGAGCAAATTAATCATTTTTTAAATTAATTAATTTCAAGTAATGGGCATAAAAGGAATATGGTAAAATTGTACGTGTTGAATGTTTTTGTGTCTGTTTGTCTGCAAATATGATATTGTACCATTTATTGTATTGATTTTTTTTAAGGTTCATGGTGATTGGTACAGGAAAAATATGAGGTCCATGCAGATGGTGTTTAAAACTATTGGCCAGCAAATGCACACCCATTTGAATACATCTTGAAAAAGAACCAGCAAAATGTGACAGTTGGCAAAATATGTAAGTTTAAGTTTTCTAAAAAAAAAAAAATTCATTGAAGTGGGGGGATGGGGTGGGGGTGAGGAAATTTACATATTAAATAGGTGATCAGAATGTTAAACTAATCTGT